TGAAATCCGGGTTGGTTCACCGGTAGTGTCCAGCATTGTTTCTTTGACTTACTCAGACACACAGGGTTTCAATTGCCATGGCGCCCGAATTCCAATTTAACTACACCTAATATTTGATAACATATTATCAACCCCCATGTCATTACATTGTTATCAGTTTTCCGTGCCCTGTGAATAATGACAAATTCCATCGAAGAAATTGGAATATGATATTCATTCTACGATATCAAAAACTGTTATGTTATCAAACCCTAGATATCGTTTATTGGTCAAGGCCTGGGTCAGTTTTGCCACTGGGTAGTGCCCAAGGGTCGTGGCAGGTGTGGTTATTTAATTTGCAGAGGGTATTTATTTGGGGGGTCAAGCAAAAGCACGGACATCACCTTTCGCTGTTTTCAATGGACGTACGTCACGTTGGGTGGCCGCAGGTGAAACATGCATACATACCCTTCATGGGTGACGTAATAAATCAGACTAATTATTCACCGTGGTTAACTTGTTTGTGTACTTATACAAAACTGCTGAACTTGGTCGTGGTATGCGGAATCAATACATTGGTGTGGTTAGCAATGTCCCTTTCTCTTCAATAGTATTTGAACCTCACGATTTGGGCGAGTCATAGTGTTGTTTATTGTCACTGCCCCGCACCTTAGTTTACATTTGTACGTTTTTGGTCAAGAATGATCATTCATTTGATTCATTCATTAAGGGCCTCGTTTTCGCCTCAGGAAGTCAAATTTCGCAAGAATACGCTTATTCAAAACCACCCAGTCTTCAAGTCGGCTATAATGGCGAATTGGGTATAATATGGGATGAATTGTCAAAACCCCCGTCATTCTTCGCGCCTTTGATTCTTTCATCAGTACGTTTCATTTGCATAATAGGTATGGTGCGTCTTGTTTTGCGAGCCACACTCTCTCAACTAGAGCTTTGTGCATGTTGCTTTACCGATCCGACCTTGTGCAAATAGGAGCCCATATAATACAAGGAAAGAAAAGCGATCAATTCCCTGTAGAAATGCAAGGTATTATGGTCTTATATGGCATTGTCCGTCATGTGTACTTAAGGGTTGTTCCGTTGTGAAAGGATTGGAAACGCGGGGTAAAATACGATAAAACTGACAGAGTCGCTGTGAAACGCAGCGCATTAACTCTGAGCAGAAAACGTGTCGCTAAGAGGAATGTGTTTGTGCGTTCAACCTTCCGCGTTTATATTTTAACCAGGTATATGCCTTAAACTGTCGCATCTTTTCTCATTGCAGCTGACCAGGCTTAGGTGAGCCCACAGAAATACCAACAACAAGATAGAGCGAAGGAGTTTTCAAAGTCGTTCATGCATGCGGCCAGGTAAAGTTACCGCCTTTCTTCGTGAACAATTACAGAGCATTTTGAGGCGCACACTGATCGCACCCTTATGTGAGGCATAGCCACGGAACAATAGTTTTGAACGAAGGCTAGGCGGGATATATACCGGAGATGCGCATAGAGGCTGTCTTATAGCCAGCATCACCATATAGAAGAGGAGAGACAGCGAGAGAGAAAAATATCAGTTGACTGCCCGAGTTTTGCCGTGAGCAAACTTTCTAGATATATTGTACAACTGACAAATATCACATCGTTTTCGCAACATAGGCAACGGCTATGGCGAAAGTTAATAGGAAAGACTCTATAAAGAAACAGCAATACTATGTGGAATACCTCGGCTGGAAGGAGGCGAGAGGGATCGCGGGGAGGGAATACACAGAACCCATCGTTCGAGAGTTGATCAACAGAAGGAAGCAGCAGGAAAACCTACCTCGGCTTACGATTCAGGTGAGCAGAAAAGAACTGAAAATCACACAGGAGGTCGACAAACGAAAAGGGAAAATCGAAAAAATCAAGTACCCTCCCATCCCGGCCCAGGATGTGACATACGTCTGTCAGGCACTGTCACCGGACAAGGATGTAGTGGCGTGTATATTCCTAGGGTTAACCCGTACACAAAATGTGCAGTCCACACTCACGTTTATCGATGTGACTCTGAAGACACAGCCGCCATCTTTGTGGCCCACGTAAATCAATTATTAGAAATTCCGACGCATCAACATCGCATCAGGAAAATTGAAGCCGATTTGGCAGCAAAAGGACAAATTCAGTCGCGTTTTATTGAATCTGACGACCCCCCGACACATCATTCTGGTAGTTCCGGGGGGAGCCGGAGCCCCCCGTATAGTGGGAGTGGCGATAATATTGGAATCTCCAGAGAAAGGGGTAGCTCAGGAAAACGTCCTCCGCCTAATGATATTGCAAACGATATCACCCCATATGACTCTTTAGCCGCTGAATTACACCAGAAATTGAATGCCAAAGAAGAGGCGCCTCTTCTTTTACCACCCAAGGACTACGATACCGTATGTCGGCGCCGAGGAAACCTCCTGGATATCGACTTGAGAAGGAGCAAACAGGATAATATCGTCGGCGATGCCGCCCCGCGGAAGGACAGTAATGATGGCGGCGTTGACAGCGGCCTTGGAAGCGATTTACATTCTCCCACAGGGGACTCTCTTCCCAATCTTGATTCCAGTCTTGACGACGATGTCTTAAGGCCCATTATTCCCAGCTGGAAAAGAGCTTCTCAAAACTCCGAAGGTGCCCCTGCTAGCCTACAGAGAATCTTCGACCAGAGGGCGAATTACAACAGTGACTATTCTGGCCCGTACGAAAGTAGGGATTCATATGACCAGGGAGGCCGACCGCTCTCCCCCGGCCCGTACCACCAGAGTCACGATTACATGTATGGGACATACGTATCCACCCGGAGCTCGGGATCTGGAGGCCACACTCCCACGGAACCTGGAAACTACATGATAGGCGGATACCACCGTCCCCTTAGCCGTAGCGCATCTGGGAACTCTTGGGGTCCTAACGATAGAAACTCGGGCGGTGAAAGCCCTCGCTATGTCCATGCGGCCCCTCAACATGTTCGCGGTCAGTCCTTGGATGAGGGTTACAACACCGTCTCTGACACCGCTCCCTTCTATGATGACCACCATCGTGTACCAACAAAAAGTCATGGACTCAGAAATTCGGGATCGGAGGACTTAAAATTTGCCCGTGGTCGATCGGCAAGTCCTGAAGATCCTTTGGCGAGAACGATGCCAGAGTCAAACTTCCGCGGAGGACATTACCGGCATGAGTTCTCACCTCAAAATCATCGGAGATCACAAACGGTCGAGACGAGGAATTCAAGAGGATATTACAATTAAAAATTGGATATCCTTTTCAGATAAATTTATAAATATTCAGTCTTTTGAAACACCTAAGACTCAGACCTATGTTTTCTGTGAGGCTGTTTATTTATTCCCAATTTATATGCCATATCTTCGATGACTGTATATAAAGCAGATGAGACCCATTGGGTACCTGTACATAGAAAGCTAACCTTCCTATTTATTACTGGACATCCCTCAGTTTCTACTGAAAAACTACTCGTGGAAAGAGTGCAATTTAATCCTTGAATGACAAACTGTATTGTATTCAATGAAGTATGAAGGTGCGGAGGTATACACTACGTTGCATAATTTGTCCACAAGAAATCCATATTTTGTATAACTAACTTATTAGATGCATATGTATGTAAAGAAATGTATGTAAGATTATGAACTCGATAAGGTACAGGGAGTTTCAAGATTGTGTATTGTAAACATTCATGAGTACGGACTGTTTGTCTTTATCGAGACACTGAGTTTAAGATACACATGTTATTCAAATATTGTTATCCATCGTTACAGAGGAGGGGTGTGTTAGCATCTTCTTAAACTTGATATTGAGGAATGTGGTAGCACTTTGACTTGTCTTCCAACGCTCTGTTCACAGTGCGTCTCTGATGCAAAAATTAATCAATTATGTAGAATGATAAAACAGGAGTGCTATCAATACTTCAATATTCCAATAGGCTGATTATTGTAGGACGTGACTGACTACGATTATTTATCATAGGGACCATTTTGTAAGGTTACACAATTAATTAATTACAGATCCCTTAACGAATATCGACTGCTTCTAACCGCAGGCCACTTTTAAAAGGCACTAATGAGGATGTCTGACCCTAAAGTTTGTACGACCAACTTTGTCAGATATTTTTAGGCAATTAAAAAAGTAGTCTACCTTAAACCAACATGCCCGACCTTTGTTTTCAGTGTAAAAACCAAGATCACAATTGACCAATTAGGCTGTAACTTATGTGGTCTTACAAAACGACAGGTATTTATTGGGAAGTTGACGAGATATTTAGGGTTTATAATAGCTTAAATATTTTGTTTGCATTTTAGGTGACATTTAAATTTATCAGTGTCGACTGAAATTATATTGTAAACAACCCGACACGCGACCAATTTTTTCTGACATTGACCCCTTTTGTTAAATGATATTTAAAGTATGTGACAGAAACAACTGGATAAAAGGCTTTAACTCAGCTTGTTGGCAAGATGTTTATCATACAAAACAACTGTTATATTAATGAAATTGTTTATCTTCTGTTGATTTTTGTCTTATATTATTTAAACCCGAACAAAAATAAATTCTATATTCCTAACTCAATGCAGTGGTAATTTGTGGGTTATTTAGATTTTTATTAACAGCACCCCGCGGCTGATAAGAACTCATTTCGTACATGGTTGATGTCATGTTTAAGTGGTATTTATTGTTTTCGAACCCCTGTCAATTTCCCTAGTGACAAAGTCGCGCGAGGACTCGTTAAATTACTGGTATCTGAATGCTTTCACTTTGCAAAGGAATTCCTGTCGCTTTAGGAAAGTAGAAAAAGTTCGGGATATGTGACACCCTTGATCTTGTGATTTTTCAAAAGATGGTGACTCACTTGTTCAAAATGCAAGTACTGGTCTTTTTAAATACATTTTGAATACGAAGTGTGAACGTGGTAGTTGAGATGTAAAACTGATTCCAGAGAGGGAGTCATGCTCTCCTGGCCATGTTTATACGTGGGTGTCCGCAATGCCAATTTTAATTTAAAAATTTATGTTAGGCAATGTACCGCAGTTGCTTAACAAGTTCTGATCGGTTACGCAAGTGCTAACGTGACCAAAGTTCTCATTCAGATATGTTCTTAAGGGTTTTACGAAAACTGATGTTATCTTCCCCAAAATGGCGACCATATTCTGGTAATCTAAGTTTGCATAGAAAACGGGTTTTGCCGAGTTTAATCATGTTTTCTTATTCTGTTGGACGTGTATTGAAAGTGGGTTAAGTTCAAGCCGCGGTGGACAAAAGGAAGTATTTACGGTATGCAGGAAATAGGCGTATGTGTTGAAATGGATAAAGGTTTTGGAATATACCTCTATTGTAATTTCTCATATTTGGAAGAATATAGAACCATTATGTTAAAAGAGCATCAATAACCAATAACTAATTATCAATGATTGTGACTCAAATTTACATCCTAAGGTGATGAGTGGTGAAGAATTTTGTGGTGGAGTTCAATGAGTGTAGGGCAGACTTTTAGCTTTGCTGGCTCTAAATGCCCTTTACATCACATTACCTGTTTTTCTTTTGGATAAGTCTTAAATGTAACACATATTGCCGAAAACCTGTTAAGTCATTTCGCACATTTAATTGCATGCTGAAATTGGAAGTCTGCAAATGGGATTTACACAGGCTTTCAAAGACGCATATTACTGTTAGTTTAGAGAAGCGGGGATTATCATTAATTATGATATAAAGCTTACTCCACCTGACAAAACCAGCCAAAATAGACAGCACCTCTCTCAAACCCGCATTTTACCGGACGCGCAATAATCATCACAAATAAAAGTTATTGTGGGACGTATTATCGATTTTTCAAAAACCCGCTGGCTTAATCACACGTTTATATTAATCCTAAGTGACTTCCTTAAAACTATTTTATACAAAAGAATACGACTCCACCTTTCCCCCTGTTACCGAGGCCCACGGCAACCCGGGGTGGAACAATGCGAGCTACTGAGTGTTTTGTCGACCCCGGTTGTTCTTTTTGTCAAGACGGTAAAAGATGGCGTGTTTTCCATGACGCCCTGGAACGTAGATTACCCTAATTATGGTTTTGAGTTCAAACGGTGCTAGGAATGAACACGTTGGGATTTCATTTTGTACAATGGAATCGTGGAATTTACGTTTATTTTTTGAAGGTAATGATAGTTTTGTTTTATAGCCCCTCCCTGCGGTGTCATGTTGGAGTGCCCCAGACGTATGGCATCACACCCGCCATTATTATAGAGTGATTATAGGCCGTATGTCACGACGCTCCTTTTTGCCCGAGGACAATTTGATCACACCATCAATATCAAAAGTCAGGAAAGGAGTATCTTTATAAAATTTAATAGAAGAGCTTAGTTAAATTGTGAATAAATATCATGAATATAAAGCAATTAGTTTGATCGTCACTATTGAGCTATAACTAACAGAGCTATAACTCTGTTTTGCGTAGAAGTAAAGTATCCATCGGAGTTCACCAGTGCAAATGTAAGCACCGTTATTGCAATTAACAAGTAGGCCTACTATTTTTTATTCTTAGTTGCCTTTTTATCTAAATCTCAAAAATGAAAGACCAAAAGCTTTTATAGTGAAATGTCTTCAACTTCTTACATCTTATATGCGTAATCGTCATATGACATAAGAATACCGCGCTCGAAGTGAAAAGACAGTAGAACAGACCATATTGCAATATATAAAAAGTAGCAGACGACCATTTACATGAAATGAGCAGTGACACCCCAGTTAACTCTATCTCGGTTTTCTGTACCTGTACTTATACATTTGCAGGCCTATGCATATTAAGTTGGGAATGGTAACAGTATATAACTCTAAATGGGACAAATGACGACGCAATGTGCCATTAAATCATTTTCATTTCCTGCAACCTCTATGACGTGGATGTGCTTTGAATCTTAATACAAATATTATTAATACCTTTTCGAGGGTTTGGTTAAAAGGTCACACGTTATTGACGCATTATCATATATTGTTATAATGGTTACGTTATTATTACTTACACAACAAATGGAAAAAACCCTTACAAATACAAAGGCACATTCAATTAGTTGATAATGCTTCCTTGTTGAAGCTTTCTGTTTGATGTGTGTAAGCTTGGATCCAATATTTAAGTCCCGGGAATCGTTATTCCTTAAATCAATGAACTAATTAACTAAACGGAGACGTTTCATTCTTACTATAAAAACATAAACTAATGCACATCATGTTTTATAGATCTCAAATCAATCGTTCACACAAACTTTTCTTGGCTTGCTTTCAACGTTTGTGTTTGCGCAAGGGTGTATTACACATTGCTCATTTCATCTACATCAGACCGTAACATTGGACAGATTCTTTCCCCCATTGTCTAAAGTAATAGTTTACATTTACATCTTCTCTCTTAAAGACCTCTTCAAGATTTCTCTTTTGTAAAACGCACAAAACATTGCCAGGTATAAGAAGACGAGAGAGCAGCGAAGGTCACTCATCCGAACTCAAGGATTCGGACCGTGTTTGCTAAAAGACCGTCTTGGAGAATCAAGAAGTGGCGCTTACACACAAAACGTTCAGAAAATCGCAAGTATTCGATACGGTCTTTTCATTTCACCGAGACAGATTCAAGTTTTATAATGTCATTGCGTTGTGAGAATATGGCGAATTTAGCGCGCATTATTTTCTTAGAATTAAAACACCGTAAATGAGTTCAGCTCAAGAACCCATCCCATCGTGTTAACGCACCTGAACTTGTCGTCGAAAATCTTGACCAGGGATAGAATACGTGTGCGTCCACTGTGGGATTTGTGACCACGCTCAATTTCTGCAATCCTATTATTCATTGTACAGCGCGGGATATTACCTGACGGTCGAATCATTTATTACAATAGACCAACATTCCACTGATGTAACATAATCTTAAGCCCTATGTCGTCTGCTTGAAAATTAATATCATGTTGATTTGCAGCAAACCAAAACAAGATGGCCTTGTGCCAAATAATTTGGCTGTTTTTGTCTCAACCCAGTTTATTATCTGGTGTAACAGGCATATAAAATTAATTATTTTTTGTAACCCTTCTCCGATACAGAGACAGAGATGTGTGTACACATGGACAGAGTTTGCATGATAACCTTTCGTCTCGTTTCATGCTAAAGCAGATAATATGTTGGCTATTAAATGATATGTGAATAAGTCATCTAATATCATAGATTTGTCTCTTGCGCAAATTATTCACATAACCAGCTCTACCAGGCCAATTTGACTTTGGCATGTTAGAGAATGACATCTCCGCATTGCATTGAAATGAAATGTAAATTTCAAAATATCATTCTAAACATGAGGATAACAAACCAAATACAGGATTACTGTTCTTTGAATTATCGCAAAAGAATATTTCGACAGAAAGACGACATCATTACAACGAATGTTTCAAGACATATACTTGACTGTTTTGACCATAAGCAATCTATGCAACAGGCGACAAAAATCTTCCACAAAACTAATATTATATTGCAGTTCACCACATTGTTTTCCAACACCTGTTTCGCAAGGACGGGTTACTCCAATATTTATTTAACACGGTAACAGTAGCAGAGGACTGGAAGTCCTGCGCGTTCCCACGTGCAATTAGTACGTAACAAATCAGCAGTCAAAGAGAAAATGCACCTTCAAGGGGCAAGTTTGTTGTACTGCATGAAACTCTATACCCCCAAGGCTTCCCACCTTTAGGCACGAGTTGCCCAGCCTGGGCCTATTGACATACTGGATACTCTACTCAGTTTTTAAAAAAGGTTCAATCAAAATCGATGAAACATGTTAAATGTGTTCAAGTCTAGGTGACGTTGATCCGCCTTGGACATTGGCAAAACCTAGAGCCAAACAATGCTTACTTGCAAGCCCAATTTATCGCTTTGTTTCCTTGTTTTGTTAAGCAAACCTAAAGTGACCTATGCATTTTGACGTAAATTATGAAAGAAAATACAGATTACAAATAATTGCCAGTAATCTTAATGCATTTAACAGTATTGCCAAAAGTCGGTCGGTTGGAGTATATTTCGCTCGCACTTCGTGAACCTCACACGCTATTCAATTCTAACTGACCAATTATTGAAAAATCAATTTTTTTACATATTTTATGTAATGTTTCTCAACAATATTTTATTTCTAGACTGTTATATCAGTTCTTTGGAGACTTGCCGTCTGTTGCGGGCTCTTTCATGTAGCGACCGGTTACGACTGAGTTTTTGATGATGCAAATTAATTTTCATACCCTTTTTGATTTATAAATTATACGTTACGCCACAGCCAAATATATGACTCACACAGTTTGCTACATCAATAAATCAAATATGGTCTTCCAAAAAATCGAATGTATAGCATGTAGTGCGACCTAGGCCCTGAAATAATAAGTTAAAGTCCGAATTGCTTTTCATGCTTATGGTGAATTTTAATGATTTTAATGATAAATGTCATGGGCAACAAATCCTTTTTATTAAATTAGCCTTTAATGCTAGATTATGAAAATGTTGAATCAAAAGAGTTAATTAAAACAACCATCTTAGACAATAAGGAAAAGTTTGCTTTTGAAATCATATAGCATTCTGGGAGCAATCAGTGTTAAGTATGTTTTGCATTATGACAGTGCTTAACTAAATCATAGCTGTAAAACCTGAAAACAGCGTAATGTTGATACTCGTATCTACCCCTCTAAGTAGGTGATACCTTTTTTCAATTTTGACAATCATATTTCTTCCAGACCTCGGGCGTACACTGTATATGTGCACGACTCAAAGGAAAACAGAAACTTTTTTTAATCACAAATTAACCTCCGAATTGATCACAAAGATGTTTTTAAGTCACAGAACAGAACTGATGTCCCTTGCTGTGGTTTTGTGCGTTACGAGAAAAGAGAACAACACAGCACCAAAATTGAGCGCCTTGAGGAACAAAATCAGATATATATCAGTTAAAAAGATGCTTTTGCCATATAATGCAAACTGCGGATTCAAACAACCAATGATTTTTTCAGGGTAGTACTAGTATCGCATCCCTCGTTGTTGTTGTTGTTTTGAAGTCGTATTTAAAAAATCTAATTATCTTTAAAAGCTTAAACTTCAGCATTCTAATTAGGAATACTTAATTGTCAACTAAGCGAATAGAAAAACTTTCTCAGCAGGTGTTATGAGAGGCCATTCGAACTTCTGACCTAGTTATTTGTGCACAACCAATGGCATCTTTCTCTAGGTCAAAATGAGAGATACCGTTCATTTTTAGAAGCGCATCTACTGCAATAGGTATCTGGAACATCCCATGCAATGCGTTGTTTCATTGTGTTAGTTTTTAATTTCGCTAGACCTTTGCCTAATCAAATCGATTTGCCTGTTGTACATTGACATTTAAAAATGGTTTTCCTAAATCTTTTCATGAAATATGACTTTATATGCATACCTTCTAATGTGTGCGTGCACGGTGCTTGTCTGCATGTGTTTGGGTGCGTACATTTAGTTCTATGCATTCCTACCGCATGCCTGTTGCATTGAACTTAATTGCAAAGTAAAATTTTATATGTTCTGAAGTTTGTGAGGCACGAGCACTTTTTGATTTTGCGACTGATTTAACCCGTCTGCAATGAAAAATAGGACGATATTGTGCGGTGTCAGAACGGTGTTACATGTAGGCTACCTAAAGCACATAACACAAGGCCTGCATAAGCTATGCAAATCTCAACATGCTCACTTATAATACTATAAATTCATCATATCTTTTTATAGCAATTTCTCACAACTCTTGTCACAGCTACTTGTATTTGAAAAAACGAACAAAAACACAACGTGTAATCCTGAGCACATATGTAGGTTAATTGACACATAATCAATACTTTTGTTTACGCTCGCGCATTCTACTGTCACTTCAAACAATATTCATCAATATTGAATGTACACCGGAGATACACATAGACACATGTAGTCTACTATCATGGCCCACAATTTTGAACAAGGCCCACCTTTGTGTCATCCTTCAAAAGAGGAGTACAAAAGCTGAGCTGTAAATATCCATGAAAGACATTTCTCTCAAACACATTATACAGAGATAAGTTACTGCGGTGACGTGAAACGAGGGTTTAAAATGTAGAATTATCATACAAATACCATTTGAAACAGAGACCTTAGCAGATCGAGTATGTGTATTCGATCAGAGCACGACGTGACAAAGGTCACGTGCGTCAGAGGGGGAGATGAACGACTGTCTCAAAAGCTGTGGTACCGCCTTTTCTTGACCTCGATGCCCTTGCTACTTTCATTTTTTTTTCATTTAATCGTTTTCTTTTTTCACAAGAGCCTACACTTATAGCAGAGGTCGACTGGTGTTTATTGTATTTATCTTTACGTTCATTATAAATCACTCAGTAAATATGTGATATTTTGGATATATGGAAAGCATACATGTTACAGTATGTTCCTCTAATCTGCTTCTAATTACTCAAAAACATGCCTTAAAGCAATGCTTATCATTGTGATTCTTTGAACATTTCGACGCTTTTATTAAAAATTATATTGATAATTTCTTTAAAAACTGTATAGTTGATTTCATGTCTTGATCTTCCTTTAGTGTTTGGTTGCAGTGCACTTTAATATGTTTGCAATATGCCTGTATAAATAATATTGCTACTTCACTGACATAGAATTATGATATGACTTTTTGGTATTCTTCTCACATAATAATTACAGCCTGAAAATAATGCCGTCAGGGCAAATAACTTGTTTTTAACTTTTGGCGGTTGAGAGGTTTTACTGGGGCACTTGTTGATTCAGGCAGTGTACCGCTATCACCAAGGACAATCACCAAAAAAAATAAAAAAAATGAAATGTAGTACATGACAGGTGCTCTTATTTTCCACTTGGTAAGGGTCAGATTAGACAGACAACATCATCTAGTAATGAATACGTGAAATTACTCAGGGCATCAAGCTAAGTTTTTAAAAATTATTTATTAACAAATAAACTCGCCAAACTTTCTCTTGCGTTTATTTTCAAGCCGCGTTAAAATATTTCACGTCCTTTAAAGCTTGGTACATGACCCAAACGTTGTCCCCATATAAACCTATTTAATTGCTCTGCCAGTGATTTGTGTTGAATATAGTTAAAATTCATTGCCTCTATCAGTCGTATTTTCAGTATGGCGCTTGTTGTTGAGTCGCTAATCACTAATTAGGCAAAACAGCAAAAAAGAAGGTATAATAAGAAATATATATATATATATATATTTTTTTTTGTCAGCATAAATGTACCATATTTTACGTTCGAATAGACCAGAATAATAGGGGATGATAATTAATGATTCTTATTCCAACCCTACATTCTTCTTTTTGATTTAACCACATATTCTTACCCAATTTAATGTATGAATCATTCATTCTAGAAGTTACTGTACAGATATTTTTGTCAGCAGATAATATATTTATGTCCGAAACATTAGGACAATAATTAATAGTTCTTATACCAACCCTATATTCTATTTTTGATTAGGTCATATATTCTAATCCAATCAAAATAAATGAATCATTCATAGACTTCGTCAGAATCTACCTAGCCCTTTAGTGCAAGGAGCAAAACACATTCCTCCCTTGTTTGCATGAAAGATGAGGTCTGGTCTCTTATGTTTTCCTTAAAAGGTTGTAATGGCGGGCACACCTAAACCACATGGTCGACTGGAAAGTTCATTTTCATGCAGAACTGTACACCATCAACAATCGAGACATGCGTTTCTATTGCTCATTTGCAGGTGATGAGGTCAGGCAATAGTTTGATTTATCAACACTTTTTTGAAAAGAAGGACAAGCGATAAGGAACGTAAATAACCTCTTTCTTGCGGTGCATATAAATTGCACCATGAAATCTGTTAAAATGTACTTTGTATTCACTTCGATAAATACTCTCTCTCTCTCTCTCTCTCTCTCTCTCTCTCTCTCTCTCTCTCTAAGACATCAAAACAAATGTGCATATTCAAATACTACCAGCAAGATGGGAAATTAAGTCTCTGGTTAACCTTGGGCGTTGGGTCAAGACCAAACATAGCATCATATCCTGAAGAGGGCTACTGCAAAGTTGTTAGATATTCTGGACACCTTTTTCTGACAGGTTACGCTCCAACCCAAAGGCGATTTACACAAAAACATGACCGCTACGATTACACTTAGTCCCAGCACGCACATCCGTCCAACGCTACCCTGAACGTCGCCAAGAAATCTGGAGAAGAATCTGCCTCTGCATTTTTTTTCTGGACGTGATCTCTTAAGATATTTTAACAAGCAGAAATAGACATTATACTAACGCACTATTACATGTTCATCCTGACCTCTCCGTTACATATTTCGAAACGATGTCTAATACATAAGTGTGATAAAGCGGTGAATTTGAATTCGGAGTCGTTTTCAAAAGATCATATAGATAGGGTCGATCGGCAGTAAAGATATTTCATAAAGTCAATAGATAAAAAAAATTACACCATTGCTTATTACGATATATGACGTAGGACCTAAAGATACAGGGACTCACACTTATCAACCGAGATATTCAAAGAATTGAAAAGAGGCGGCTAAGGCAATCTGGTACATATATTTTGCAATGGAACATTCTTTGTCATTCATGACATTCTGACTCTCAGGGTGTTTTGCCATTCAGGCTGATTGCGACTCAGCCAAGCATATACCGGTACTACATGTGATGTCGTTAAGATGGCAATTAATGTTCGGGCTGAACTGACATGCCGACATAACTTAACAGAGATCCAAGAAGAGACATGATCTATTAATGCCACCGTCACTATCTTTAAAACCTTAGTCACTCAGTGGAGAACCGGTTTATTCACCTTATTGAAATGCATAATGGATTTTATTTTATACACACGGCAAATTCTTCATAAGACAAAAAGATCTCCTGGTGATACAAAGCGGCCTTTACTGACAGAAAAGGTGTTGAACAGAGAGGCTTTAAACATCAAGTGAAAAAAGACGGAATTTAGGTACCAGGGACTTTACTGATACGATAAACATGAACAAATGGACAAAACAGACAGAGGACAAAGCTGCAAAGCAGAAACAGTCGAATGTTTTAATCGAGAAAAAGGTTTCTTTTCTCGGCCAATGGTACTCCACAGGACACGACGACAGCGCTTGCCAAGTATGGAGGAACCAAATTTCCTCCACAACAGCTGGAACAAAAAACAAACTAAAAATTACCGAAGCTGGGATAACATTCGGTAGTAAAGCCAATTTTTTCAACCGCTCAAGCGATGTTTTGAAATTAGAGGATATTCATGACTTTTATATTGGCGACCAGCACCTCTATATTATCGTCTGCGTGGCACGGGTGACACATACAAAACAACGCATATTGCTATTCCGTTGTCATAACCTGAAGGATTGCGAAGATCTGGTGACAGTTTACAGAAATCTTGTCGACAGTGGGATTCGCACGGTCCCCCAGCAGTCACCAGGGACATCGGAGTGGGACTACCGGTGGGGATATAGACTATCGCGTGGAGGTAAGAGAACATCGTCTCGGTGCCCCGGAAAACCGTTCAGTCGATGTAATACCTGACTACGAGGAACGCTATCATCACCATTCTGAACAAAGCGGGCCCCAGGACTCGTATTACCGGTATGGTGATGGACACAGCCCGGCAGGAGGAGGAAACCAGCAAAGTCACATTTTTCGCGAAGAAAGGTCAACCTCGAGCATTGTAACACAAAACCATGCAAATAATCAGCACGCTGGGGAGAGACTCGCCGTGCCGGTGATAAAACATCAACAGCAAGGTCCTATATACAGCCGCGTCGAGCACGTGGAGGGAACGCGTGAAAATATGGGCGCTCGTCAGGGTAAACACACCAGCACACGCCATTACAACGACAGCCAGCACCACCGAGAATCAAGACAGCACCAGCAACAGCACGTTCACAGAACAGGTAGAGTGACGAGTTCCAGCGACGATGAAGCCCGCCAGGTAATTGACCATTTTGACCGTGTCGTGGAACGCAGCGCCAGTTCTACATCACGAGATAGCCCCAAAATGGTGCGGAAACCGGTTCAGACGGGAGGAGAAGTGGTAGAAAAGACGTTGGAGGTGCGTCGGTATCATAGTAAGCACGATAGCTCGGATGAGGATTACCAGGCTAGGCGTAAACAGGAACAAATGGAAAAAATGACACTGGCCGAGCAGGTCAAGTTACGCGATGAGGTAGAGAACTTAAAGGAACAGGTCGAACAATTAAAATTTGCCTCTCTTCAGAGAAATACCCAGCCCCAGCAGACGGTCATCGAGACCACCACCTCCACTTCCCATCAAAACCGCTCTAAACGCCATGGCGAAAAGAAACGTAAACACCGCCGCCATAAAAAATCAGACACGTCGTCTGCTACGGACTCGTCTGCTAGCTCGTCTGATGAAGTAACCCAGGTCAAAGCTAAGGAAGTGTCAAGCATGGAGGTGGCTAAAAGTAATGTTGATGATCATCATAAATTAATGGTCACACACCACACCTTAGACCGCCATGGTCAGATGAACCAGATAGAAACTTTCGGAAACTACGACACGCGCCCCCCTCCCCCGTTGCCATTGGCCGAGGCCACCGCAGCTGGTGGTCAGCGTGTTACTAAGTCAGCCTACTCAAAGGTGATAAAAACGTCAACGTCAGGAGGCGGGAATACTGGACAGATTGTGAGCAGTGGAAGTGGAGGGGCCGCTGTAAAAGGAAAATCTCTTAAACTGGTCTCCAGCACTGGTGGCCCTACTTATGACTGCGAAGGAAACCCAGTTTCACTCAGCCCTGAAAGCTCGACTTATAGCCATGCAATGTACGGCGGTGGAACAACGGGAAGCAGCGGCTACGTCAGCAGCACGTACGGTACCACCGACCGCAGTGGAACCGGTTTGCGCGTCGTGTCAGCGTCGGGAGCTACAGCTATTGATAGTGAAGGCAGGCTTATAAATGACGGGACCAGCGCACGCAGCGTACAAAGCACTTCATCCTATCAGTATGCAGGTGCCAACGGTCACGGTGATCCACGTTATCCACACAGACGGGGATCCGTACGCCAACCACCTTGTCTACGGGGGCTCTACGTTAAAACGTGACGGTGGCGGCGGTAGTCAATATGGAGGAAGCAATTACCATACTACAGAACGTCATTATAGTGAGCGCGTAATGTCACCGCCGAGAATTGAGGTCACACCACCGCATCCTACGCTGCTTACGCCAAAGAAGGCCGCCAGTGAGTACGGCTACCACTTTCACCGTGACGAGCCCGACTACGGTCACAGTGGCAACAGGGTGCATAAAGTTACTAGACACACGTCGTCAACAATCACTCGCCCTGCCGAAAGAGTCTACGTTCAACGTACACCAACCAGTTCACGTAACGTCGTTTATTACGTCGACGGACACCCCTCCCCTCCTCCCCAGCAGCGTGTTGTTGAGACAGCGCCCATCTATGCGTCTTCAGGGGGTTACGAATCTCGTTTCACGTCGCGCTCTTCAGGAAGCCCAAAGAGACATTGAATGTATTGTATAATGAAAATGAATGCGACTTGTGTGGACAGTATGAGGTTGATAATGGACTTTTTAATTGCTTTATCAGTTAAATTCTTTTTCCTTTTCTTGTTAGTGCACGTATGGTGCTAGATAAGATTGTTATCAAATATTCCTTTTACAAAAGGAACTTATATGAGATTATTTAACAGTGAAGGACATAGAGAGATGGATGGAGAGAGGGGGAGGGGCACATTTTCCACGACCCTAAATCATGGAAATAATTGACCATAATATTTGGCCGAATTAGATCCACTCTTTGAGCCCTGTAGTAAACTTAGTATAACGAAAGGTGTACCATTATCATACATCAGATTACATTCATCAGATTACAGACAGTATTTAGTGAATGTTAAAAATATATCGCATTCAAAATACGGTTCCGGGTACATGTACCAGCAAGTTAATGACTTTCTTTGTGCCATATTTCAATACCAATGACGTAATTGTGACCGCCCACCTGGACCTTTTACCTAAGTGTATTTAATATTTGTAGCGCCCCCCTTGCTTTGTATAAAATAAATAGTATTATAGTACAAATAGAACAACATATACATACAGCTGCAATATCCAGTGCATTTTACAAAATAAATCCATTATAAGAAATAAAATAAGTTTGAAAAGCATCTTACATATCGTCATTCAGTGCCTATCCATATTTCAGCCACAACAAGGCGTTTAGGCCTTGCGGGTTTGGGTACAGGTCTTTTCTATAGGGCTATTGATTCGAGACTCACCGACACAAAAGCTAAGAGAACATAATTGCTTATCCTCTCTTTTGTCAACCGGTTTACATATACCGACGGGATAGAATAGTACGTTTCATATTTCAGCACATTCCTTTTACTGCAATACAGCGACCTCGTCTAAATATATAAATATGGGTGATGGGAATTTGAGGGTCAGGTGCAAGTAGAATGGGAGTGGAGTTCCCTTTAGTTATTCAAATGAGCACCGAACTACAGTGTATTGACTAACTATCGAGTCTGCGCATTGAAAACTGTTCCTCCATTACTAGGGTGTGTTCATTTACCTGAGTTGACGCCTGGCGCGGTGTGTGGGGACTAGATATATGAAAACGGATTAATAATTTATGAGATTCCAGACTCAGTCGCCTTCAGGGACAAGAGTGAAATATTCTTCAGATGCTGTGCTAGCCATTTAGGCATGAGATTCGAAGTTTTGACTCAACACCCTATTCCATGGTGAAAACAATCAAGTAAGTTATCGAGTCGGTGCGCGGGAGCCATTTTGTCTCATAGGACTTGTTGATAGCATACGAACAAAGAAGATATAAAGTACGTTTTTAACGTCAGTGGCGGCTGCAAGCCCGTGAAAATGGTGATCGGGCCGAAAGTTGAACATAAACCCCTGGCTCGGTGTCGGGTGTTGTACCTTGGCAGTGCAGTGCCCATTGAAACAGCACGTGGATTAGATGCCATACAGAAACCACTTCAGGAAAGGTACCCGGTGGATGTTAACTCGCCTGTGCAGGGAATCGATGCCTGGGTGACAGTATTAAGTACCGGGGTCCACCTCCAGTATGTCGGGGACCCCAGTAACGTCTTCTGGTTTCCTGTGCAGAATCTGTATGTGTGTGCCGCGGTGAAGTGTGTGATGGTGACCAACACAGCAACAGGCGAGACGGTTCCGAAATTCGTGTCCTTAGATACTCCGGCAGCCAGCACCAGCAATGGTCACCCGCCGTTGTTCTCTTTTGTTATGCGTCGATCTACGGGTGTGAAAGTACTGGAATGCCACGGATTTATCTGCAAGGGCACCCAAGCCGCATTGGCCTTGGTAAAATCGTGCACGTACGCCTACGAGCATAAAGAAGGGTGGTCTAACACCGAACCTCCTGCCTCTGTCCTGGGAGAGGAGATTCGTAATGGGAGCTTACGTGGAATTCCAGGAGACAGCCCAGAGCAAAGAAATGGCCATGCTCCTCAAAATGGCCCCAATCCGTACGCCATGGGCGCAGCGCACGTCCGAGGCTTCCATATAAGTGAGCCAGGCGGCAGACCGATGATGAGACCCCCTATGCGGCCTCCAATGTACCGGGTCCCCTACCCACCCCCACCTGGTCATCCCATGATGCGACCCCCACCCCCAATGATGCGACCTTTTATGGGCCCTCCCCGGATGCGCATGCCCCCTCCACCCCCAGGGGCCCACTTGATTCCCGTATATGCTATGCCCCCCAGATTACCTCTGAGACCTATCCCTGGCCCGGGTGGGGCGTACGCGGCAAGCGATATTCACGAACTATACTCCAGACGCATTCCCAGTCGCTCCTCCTCGCAACGCCGCCGCAAATCGGGATCTTCATCTTCTGGTTCCAGAGAGAGGCGGGCGAAATCCCACTCCCCACGTCGCCGACCTCACAGTGATGGTGAGGCACATCGACACCAATCCCCCGAGCGTCGGCAACGGTCATCATCCAGCAGCCGAGGTGGTAGTCCCAGACGTTCACATCACCGTCGTCACCATCGCCACTCGTCACGCTCTCCGTCTCCCCACAGGCGCAGTCACACTCCTCCAGCTGACTATGACTATGTGCAATTTAGGACCCCCAAGAGAATGAGCCGAAAAGACAAGCATGATCGCCATGGCCACGATGGTCCCATCTATATCATTTATCCAGACCGTGACGGACGGCTCCCAAGCCCCCCTCGTGAACGCCGATATATAAAGCAGTTAGAGCGAGGCGGGTTGTACAGATCGTCAATACCCCCAAATCAGAGATCGCGCTCACTCCCCCCACCCATGCACCGGAGCGAATCGCAGACTAGATACAAAAAGAAAGGTAAAAGCAGAAAAGGCAAACGCAGCAAGTCGAAACAGAGCCGTAGCAAGCACCGCGCAAGTTCTTCCAGCGACCAGGACCCCCTAAGTAACGGGGTGCATTCCGAAATGTTCATGAGGGAACCTGAGGAGTTGCGATCCTTCCCCCGGGACTGGAGGAAGCCAGAGAGACAGTTTCAGAACGAGCGTGCCTTTGGTGGGTCTATCAGCAAAATGGCGCTTGGGGAACTCGGCCGCGACCATCCCTCGGCGTACCAAATGAATCAGGGATTCGAGAACCGCAATGAGTTAGATCACCACCCCGGGGAAATAACGACCAACCCCCTGTATGGGGAAGCAGGCCCGGACTTTAGTGCAGGGTATGGTTCTGACGGTGAAAACAGACCCCCATTCGACGATTTTGAACGGACTCTGGGATATTTCCCATGAAAATACTGCTGATAACTATAAGGAAGTTCTGATCAGTGCTGGTAACTATATCTCTGTTGCATATTGTTGTAAATACAGTATAAACTAAATCGCTATATGAACACTAACGGAAATTTATAAAAAACCGTGACAATTTTACTGAAATAAGCATTAGAACATGAATGTTACAAAGCTCAGCAGACATGCATAATTGGAAACTTATAATTCACATTGTAAAGGTAATATTTTTTAATTTAAAGGGCCTTGGTTGTGCAGATATATATTATAAATCTAATCTGAGCATGTACATATATTCGCTTATTTGCCTCTCATTTTCTTTTATTGAAATTGGCACAAATTTTTGTTTGTGTACCAAGTGACATGCACTCTTTACTAAAAGAGTACATATATTTAATTAACGCAATAAGATTTTACAGTATTGGAGCATGTGAAGAATCGATAAGAGGCCTTTCATATGGGTAAAAGATCGTTGGGTAATTGATCTTATATGTACAAAGTCCGATCTTCTTCTCTTGTAAAATATTTTGCACTAGCATACATTTAAGTATTGTATAATTTTAAACGCCTCACTAAAAACAATAACCGAATTCCAAACCTCAGACAACTTATCATTAGTCATTTAGATGTGACACGCCTTGCATTGAGATATTCTCCGATTTCATATCATCAAAAGACCGCAGTGTTCGTCATCAGGTATTGTTTACAGTGCAAAGAGGAGGGGTATTCTTAACATTGAAACTGTACAGTATCACTTGAGTTAATCCTTATTTCAGTTAGTTTGGTGACTGGTGGTTTTTTATATAACTCACAAAATATTATAGGCGGTAACCCTTCGTGTTCTGTAAGTATTTACGAAAGAGGAGAAAGTAAAAATGCTATGAATCATATTGTATAGACCGTGTTTGGAAGAACCTACTCCGCCCTTAGTGAAGGTTTGCCCTGTTAAGCGCACCGGCAACCACATCCTTTGTTCAATCGCTGAGATAACCCCTCTCTTGACCCCGCCTTAGTTCTGTTACATGTGCGATATAGATCAGCAAATATTATTATTATCAAACTCAATTTTTTTCATATATTTGACTAAATATTCTGTCTAGCAAAACACGGTTGAGAAATTTGCTGTTGTTTTTAAAATCGGGTCAATATCCTTTTTGTTGTAAATCGCTTACAGATCACGATTTATATTGAATGTTACATCTAGTGCCTGGTCGGTTAATTAGCATCGGAGAAAGAATCCGATACTTGAGGAATGCGAGTCGACAGATTATTGCCTTACCTAAGCTGTATAGCTATGGTAACCAGTCTCACGTTAGACCGAAATTATGTAATGTTAAGAGTGAGTGCAACAGGCATAAATGATAGATTTCCTGATGGGAAGAGCGACTGACATATGACTCTGACCCTTATTGCCAATATGAATATCAGCTAGCCATATGTAAGATTATATCAGTGATTTTATTTATATTGGTTAGGGTATTGTATTGTTATACTTGAGTATTTGCCAAACTTGGGGTGAAGTACTTTTTTTCCATATTTTTCTATATTTCTGTTATATTGTTACTTTTAGCAGAAACAGCAAATGTGTTTAGTCGAAGGGGATAAACTCGATATTAAAAGCTCCACATATGCTGTTCGTATTTTTCATGCTTAAGTTTACATCTTGATGAATTATGGGCGTCTCCCCCGAATACAATGTCGTGGGTTAATTACAATTAAAGTGTTGGCTTTCCTAAAACTCTATGGGCAGTGAGACACTAAAAAGATAACGTCACAAAAGTAGGTGTTTCTCAACTTGGTGACCATTAGTCACAAGCGTCTTATTCATATACAAAGGAGTTTCTGGCTTACTAATTTCGCAGTACTTTGAGGGGCGTTACTTGGTGATTTTTTTTTTTTTTGGTCATATTTATAATTCATTAAATGCTCTTAGAATATCCATTATATTAATCTTATGAACATCGTAATGTATTATTTTATTTTTAAGGGAAGCGTATCAGTGAGAGAATATATTTATGTTAGCCTTAAGACCATGGTGTATGGTCTGCCATACCATAGGTTTATTTGTCCGTTATCATTTCTATTACAATGCCGCCACTTTGTCTATACTGAATATGTCACGTCGAGGAAACATTGTATCCTAATATATTAAACAAAGACGTATGTTTTCCCCTTTCATGATGATATTACAACGTTTTTTATACGTACATTGTAAAACGAAAGATATACTCTTTTTCTTTGTCATTTGACAGTCTGTTTGTGCCTTTGTCACCATCATGACACCGCTAGTTCTATTCAAAGTTTCTTAAGGCAAAAATGAATCAAGTCAAGGTAGCCTGTGGTACGTGAGCTGAATACGACAGGTATGGAGATATAAAGGAAGGCTATGTATACTGTCGCACCTGCAGACTATAAACACCTTGTGTCACAAAAGCCGGCATCCGTGTCCAACTCACTTGTAAGGTTAGGCAGATACCCTTAGAACATTTGTCATGTCGTAAGGGGTTTATTTTAAGACTCAGTGGTAACTAACAAATGCTGTTGCTACACATAACATGCTATTTTTTTTACTTTTAAACTACCATTGCAATTTGTTAACTTGATAACTAGCAGTTGACGTGTTTTATAAACATGCTGAAACATAATCATTACTTTTATTCTTTTTAAAAGATTATCAATAACATCAACGGTTACTATAACAACAAGGGGGAATACAGTTTTGTTAATCGGTGTTAAGTTTGTTGAAAGAGTTTGACATAATGGCTATTAATAATGATATTTAATAAATGATATTTAACATCCCACGTCTTTTTTTTTTATCAAACAGGATAATAATAGAGAAATAATAGTTTGGGAATAATTCAAATCTCAACTGAGCATGTTCTCGTAACACTACTTAAAAGATTTGAAAATCCCCAGGTATACCTCTTTATTTGACGAAACTTGCATAAATGTATCTTGGATTTAAAAGAAAGAGAATCAATGGTCGTAAGTAAACAGTGAGGGTAAATACGTGTAGGATTATAACCTATGTTCGTGACTCTGCAATACTGTCAGCATGGATATGAGCCAAGGTGTACTGAACATGATCTTTGGAGAGTACTCGAAAACGATTTCTCGAATGTGACTTGATTTAAACTTAATTCTCAAACTTAAGTCGTCCGGCGGCTGGTAGAGTGGGGTTAACTTATCACTCGGAGAAAAATAAGTTGCGGCGAAGAAGAATGTTTAGTCACCAACTGCATAAAAATATTTTCATTTTTTAAATTTTTTAATGGGTCCGCAATTGCACGTTAGGCCCTTTTGGTAGTAAAACTATAGATATGGCGCTGTCAGACGTTCTCTCACTTCCCACGCATCTTCCACAAAGGCTACATGTAACACAAAATATGAAAATTGTAGATGGCGCGTTGATCGCACTGTACTCACTATTGACTCCATGAAAGGATGGTGGTCTATGCAAAATAACGTCACATTTTTTTTCTGCCTCGTTTTTATTATTTATTTTGTCTTTCGAATGTGTGTGAATATGAAAAGACCAGTCGGCTTTGATCGACAGATATACTGCAAAGTCAAATATAGTGAGATTGAGGAGTAATACAACACTAGATCATGAATCCAGTAATGAAAGTGAAATTCCAACATACCAGTAACATAAATCATGCATTCGAGCAACCTCTTTATGAAGTATAAAGATATTACTGGACTGGAAATCGACTTAACCGTGCAATAAAACGTCTTTTTATTTATTTTCCTGAGGAAAACATACATGTTTCAACAAAAGCAAAAATGTACACGATAAAAACACAGTATAACAAAGCGACATTCCTTCAGAGCAATACCGAAAACACACAATGATTGTAAACTGAATGTAAATGTTTACTTACCCTTATTGATGAATTGTGGTTATTCGGGATGGCATATAAACATGCATGCACATTGCGCATATAAAACATAACTTCTTATTAGTAATCACTTTTCTGATTATACATGTAGCCTACATGTAGAGTGCTTCGATGCCGCGGTTTACACTTTCTTCTTCTCTAAGTTGACATGTCCATAAACGAATATCTGAGTGATAAAGTTACTAAAATTTGTTTAAAAACATCAGCATTGATTTTTATGCCGACTGAGAGTGGATAAGGTATTGTAAAACAATAGAAATGGAACCGTGTTATATGTTTGCATGCTAATAAGTACTTTTAAGCTTTTAAAAGTCTTGAACACATATGATGGTGTCCCAACTTTGACATATCTGTCGCTTTCCATGTAGTTGCATTTCGTTATGTATTTTCGACAATACCTAGTTTTTCAGGACAGGCTTTGTCTAAATGTCTTTAAAACCTGGTAAGGTCAAAGGAAACCGAGAGACCCGGCATCATTTTACATAGTAGAAGACGTGGAGTAAAAAAGCTCCCGGCCAAATGAATCTTTTAGTTCAGTGGAGCGAAGAGGCCCGAAGAGCTTTCTTTCATTTTGGAAAAAAGGAACACAAAAACACACACAGACAAAAACTCAAGAATTTTTGCATAAAACACTTGAGGAGGTTCACAGACCAATAACTTAAAGCCTGTAGACGAATGAAGGCGGTTAGTTTTGACGTATTGGGGCTAACCTGCTTGGTATATCTGACAAAGTGTTCATAGGGACAGTAAGATACTAGCTTCAACTTGAGACATTTATAAATCACCTTGAACTCAAAAATATACAGCAAGTTGCTTTAAATGCAATATTTAGGTAATTCTGTTTGTCTAATCACACTAAAAATTACCATGCAAAATTAATCCTTACAAGAAATGACCAATTATTGTCAGTTTGTTCTTCAAAAGAACTACCAAATATTTTACTCATCTTTGCTGTCGCTGGAAACTTTTTCCCTTTAAAATCACTTGAAAAAGAATTTCACAGCATGCATATTATGAAATGATGTCACGCTAATTAACCATCTTTTAAACAGCGTGCTTAACTAAATACCATTTCACAGTCATTCTCCGCCTCTCTACCGCACACACAGTCAGCCACAGTCAAGCAAGCATGCAAACATTAGAATATATTAGAAAAGACAAACCTGAACTTGCACAGGCATCGGCAGACACAAAGTGCAGCTGCGAAGCGCACGTTTTCATACAAATGACATGCACACAGACACACACCCTTACGCATAAACATGCTGGCACAGGCTCAGAGAGAGAGTGAGAGAGAGAGAGATCAACTACAGTTTCGTTAGTTTTTCTTCCTTTTCTTTTCTTCTTTCTTTCTTTTCTTTCTTTTTCTTTTCTCTTTCTTTTTTGTGGAATTAGAATCAGACAGTGTTTTCTTTCTCCTGCCGTCTTCCCAGCCTGGCATGTACCACAGGTGTTACTGTAGACAGGTAGACAAGGTACGAGTTGTATTTCAGCCTCACCTGTAAGCTTCAAGGTGATTGTGGCGTGACCAACATAATCCACGACATCGCCTTAAGCCTAGGGAACTGCAATAAAAAGTTAAATGTGCATAATATTGCTTCACGGTACATAATCAGATAGCATTTTTGTACGCGTAAAAGCTTTTGAAAATAAAATAAATCAAGAAATGAGATGCTTTTGCATAAATCACACGGTCGTGATCCGCCACGCTTGCTATATCATCCGTGCCGCGGAAAAAATCTCGTAGAAAACTTCCTGCCTCTTGTGCTTGTCAGCCTCCCGGAGGTCCCCTCATACAGGATGATATCGTAAGTCTAGTTTTTAAAAAGATGCATTATATTGCATAATTTAGTTTGTCGATAGTTTCATGACAATATTATGTGAGCGGCTGATTATCTGTGTCTTTTGGAATTGACCATGAGATTCCGTGATCTAGTACGCTTAATTGGTTCGTGCGTTTAATTATCTCAGACACTTCTTTCTGCAGTTGATAATTACCTGTTATACTAATTAATCTGTGTGAAGAACAAGGCGTGAGTTTTTTCTTTTCTTTTCTTTTATTTGACGAATGTTGAATGAAAATCCTTATAAATGTGCACACGCATCAACTTTTCATCTTTATTGAACTGTATTGTAAAATAGCCAAAAAATATCAATAACATTTTAGAAACTCCAAGGACTAGGTTACTGTCACCTCAATAAATAGATCTTTTGATTTTTTTTCTTTGTTTATTTATTTATTATTTTTTCTGTTGTTGTTGTCAAAAAACACACCAGTCTCAGAATTTTAAATACTCCCCCTTTGGGCCTCTTTGCTATCTTCCTCTTAGAGATAACAGTTGTGCGTGCATAATTCATAACCTTCAGCGGCTTCCACCGTTGATAGATTGCCACTGCGCATCTCCAACACTTTGATTTCTGTCGTCTGAAATTGTGCTTGGTTTCTCATTGAACTGACACAGTGCTGTCTGCCAACTGGAAGCAACGGTGCCGAGATGCACGAGAGGGACTCTAGACGCCGCTCCAGCAACGGGATGAAGCAGCTAGCCTTTTTGCCGCGTCTTTGGGGTAGGTGCATGTGCATTCCTTTCTGTTTAAATGATGCTTGCTCAGCTATCATCTGCTTGCTAGTAAAATAACCAGGGAGCCACATTTCTGCATAGACTAGCTTGGATCAGGTGCAAAACTAGTAAAGCTAAAAAGAATTCGTTGCCCTTTTCATGATCTCTATAACTTTGTTATATTCTGATATACGTATCATGTGCATTTGCCTCAAGTTAAATTAACTGATGCAATTTGAGATCACAACAAAGAAGAAAAGAGAGGATGCGGGTTGAAAAGTAGCGTGACATATATTCTGTATCAATATGATATCAAATTTTAATATTGCGTTTAGCAGCACAGCACAGACAAAGAGGAAAAAATATCACAATGATTGAGTTGTACTGTGACTCATACAGACAGGATAATTCCCTATTGACCGTCTCTTGGAAAGCATTTTTTCTGATTTTCGATCCACAAGTATTTCATTGTGTTGAAGGCTTGTAGCCTATACAAGCGTCATAAAGATTATAAGTCGTTTTTCATGTGCATTTTTTGCATATCTCATTTCACAAGAGAACGTCGTATTTTTTACATAGGCTCGAGGCAATGCTCGTTAAAAGTAAAGTCTCCGCCTTTGTAGAGCGTTTTTGCCTTCTTCTTAATTGTTTCACACTAACAAGATGGAAACACTTCCATATATTCCATACATCAGATACATCTACAATGGGGAATAACTATAATACCATAGCAAGATAAGATCGGACCTTGTTATTACTAATAGTTTGAAGTAAACCCCGTTTTTAAGTATAAATATCATCGTACATTTGCCTCACTAATTAGGGATAATTTCTGACAGTCACGGAGTCGATTACAAAGTCGAAGACTAGTTGTCATAAGTTACATATTACATACATCATATGATGATAGCATTAAAAAATCAGAATAATAATGATATAAGTATATAGGCGCTTTGTGATTCAATATTTCAGACTGCATGGATCTGTTACATGTATCATAATTATTATCATTTTGTAAAATTACGCTCAAAACTTTCCATGGTGGATGTGATGATCATTTTGGTCTTACAGCTGTCACAACCAAATTCAGTTGATGACTTCTGAAAAAAAAAGATGCTGGTATCAGGCTGTGAAGGCAAACTAATTCAGGCTCTCCGTGCTTTCCATTAGCTGATTGTGTCGTTTCCGCAGAAAATTACTTTCACCTTTCCACTGAACCTTTATCAATCATTGATGGCTAATATACCATTTACGAATTAACGACACATTAATGCAGTTTGCAATTACTTGGAGGTTCATGGGGTGTCGTGTTTTCGCTTATTTCGACGTTTTTTAAGGGTGCCAAGATATGAGTGCGAGAAGACAACTTTCAAATATGGTAGGTAGTTCTCGCCATTAAAAGCGACATTAGCAGTAAACGGAAACGGATGCGCCACGAAAGTCGTGAAAAGAAAAGAAAATTGTTTGGTTTCCATGTAGTCTACATGAATACAACAAATAATTGCGGAAACGTAAACACCTCCAGACACCTCCCATAGACATATTAGCTATAAGACGACTAAAGACATAACGTCGGTCTCCCGAGTTACAGCACCATTCCGGGCAGATATAACGACATCTTAATGCATACCGCAAGCTACTGAAATTTAACAAATTACAATTTAATCGATTTTTTGGGAAAAATAGGTAGCAGTCAAGGCCTGTGCAGGAATGGGTGCTTTTAATATTGCATGAGCTCCTTCCTCGCCAATAAACACTGAATTGATGCAAATATTTCCAATGTTTTTGTATTGTAATTTCTGGCTCAATATGAAGAAATACTTTTGCCACGTAAATAATCTAATAATACCCATACCGAGCGCTTTAATGTATCTTATAAACACAGCCTTTCGCAGACAATTAACTTATTAATGATATCAAAGCCCACAAGAAATTTGCATTCTGTCCTCCTAAGGGTTTCTAATTGAGCGTTTAGACTCGTTCCTCGTTCAATGGCACAATCTTGCATATATGCAAACAAAAAACATGAAGATGTTATGTGTAATTGTCAATGTCACTAGCAACAAGAAATGGGTGTTTAATTGGATTAAAGGTACCATTACACACCTCGATAGAATCTCACCAACCGCAATGTAGGCATTTATTACTGTTTAAATAATACCATTAAGTTTCGAAGATACGCAGACAAGCAGAACTTCGGCGTCATTTTTCAAGTTATGTCAAGTGCTTTTTCAGAAATGTTTTCCCACAAATGCATTTAAAAGTACTTTACCTTTTGTTTATTCATGTAAAGCAAATGAATATTTCTTTCCAGTGAAAGTAGAATATGTCATCCTTTTGATTTTTACCTTGAAACGTTTTTTCGTTATCGAAAGGATGCCGTTGTTAACACACAACGCCGTACTCTTTTCCAGCAAACAAGTGAGTTTTTCTATTTTTTCTCTGATTTTAGATTACATTTACATAAGTATGTTTTTACATTCCATCTGAATCAAAGAAATGCAATTATTTTTAAGGAGTTAGGTTCTGTCATCAGTTTACATATTCTGATTTATACCATTGGTTTTACCTTTGACATGAAACAGATTTATTCTTTGATTGGCTAAACATAACTCTATATGATGTGCCTCCTATTTTCTAACAATTCCACACTTTGCCGATGGATCATTAAGCTTGACCCGACCTACCTGCCATACCGTTCTTATTTACAAAACGCCATATTTCCAGAATTAAGCAAACACACGCCAAACGTTGACTATTGTATAATGGAAAAAGCCGTATTGTCACCCCCGTTACCATATTGTTACGGTTATTATGAATGTGTTTTTGTGTTGTCACAAAATTTGAATTTGATCCGAATTCAATGCCCTATACAAACATAAGATGATCTTTAAATCCAGCTATAGGTAGCTGTTCTGGAACTATAGTTATGAGTGTTTGGCTGAAGAGCGTCGGTGACGCGTGGGGGAAACGACGCAGAGAAAGGAAGAAAATAGAAATTTACACTTTAATTTCACGACTTTATCTCCTGCTACCTGTGAACAGCCATATACCACGAGTTAATTCTGCCTTCTGATCGATCGGTTTTTCTTCATCATGCACCTAGACGCCAGGAGGATCAATATGTCGGCCAAGCGATCACAATCGACGTCAGACCTGGTGACAGCTAGTACTGGTGTATCAGACACATTAAAATTCAAGGTATATAGATACTTATCAACCATGATTAACGATAATGATAATGAGGATGAGGATGATCTTGGGGGTCTCCCTAAGCAGACGGTTGGTACATTAAAAGCTGCAGACGGGGGTATCACTATCCCAGCGTCTGTACCAGGATTCCATTTTGCCAAAGCTACCGCATATAAACTCAGTCGATCAACTCCTGACATTAGAAGCAGCAATAATAAGGAAACCAAAGCCACAGATGAATTGAAACAGAAGAAACCAATCAAGTCAAAACAGCGGCGGTTTAGATCACGCCAGCAAAATGAGAAAGTAGGACGTAACCATGGTAATCAGACCCTAGAAAGTACTAAATCTCTGGGAACTGGGAGTAGGTATTATAGAGGTCGCGACGCGTTTTTCAAGCTTGACAGGCCGCGTTCTGCTCCCGACGTAAGAGATCCGGAAAGTTACCATGGAAATAGACTCTGGAGAAAGCCTCCTGCATTTTGGCATTCAGATACAGACCGATCTACGTCGTCTTTAGAAAAAAACAAGACATTTTTCTTCAGCGAGGAGTTACTTTACCACGAGACTGAGAAGGCAGATGACAAGAAAAGAGAAGAGGACACGCCCCCAGGAGAGGTAGCGTCAAAAATATGTACAGAGCCTGAGAAAAACGAACAACCAAAACACACGGAAAATAAAAATACTCCAGATTCCTCTCAACAAAAATATGACCACCCCGGTGCTGGACACGTCACTGTGGTGACAATAACACCAAAGCATACAGGCAAGCCTGACCAACCCTCTGTGAAAATCGAATACAGGGATCATTCAAGGCCTCAGAAAATTACTGGGTTATCACAGAAGACAGAAAACATAAAGAAATCCAATGAATTTAAGCCGAAGTCTTCTGAAGACAATTCTAGAAATGTTCGATTGAGGAGGGGAGAGAGGGTCAGTGACAACTCTAAAAGCGAATTCATCCGGAAACACCCGAAAAAAACTGACGCCGTGATTCAGCAGCCGAGAGAAAATTTGCGAGCAGAAGAGAAAAACAAAAGACAGCAAATTTCACGTGGAGAATTAGAAGGTAGGAACAACGGAAAACTAATGTTGAAATACGGTTCTGGATTCATTTTATCTTACCCTATTCGATATGATATGCCTTTAAAAATGTAAAATCATGATTTGTTTTATTACATTTCTTAGTAAATCTGACATACCATACGTATAAGGTTGAACGGAGACACATGGGTAAGGTAGCTTTTATCCTATTTGTCATTATCCTATAATGGATGACATGTTCGATAAAACCATGCAGACCAGCTACTGTTAAAAGGTTCACATAATTAAGACTAATTGAAAAATAATGTACCTGACAAAATTAGTCATTAACATGTATTTTCACGGCATCCTATTCAATGGCTATTACCTATAATGGGCCCAATACCTGCACAAAGGAATGATTCAAGATAAATCGATATCCAGCAAGTAGATTAATCGGAACTTAATGTATTGACGATATATCAGATCGTAATTTAGGCCGCAATGCAAATCCAATCATGCAATATATCGATTGCCATGTCGTATGGAGCAACAGGTGCAAACGCGAGAGGTCTTAGTGAAGGGGAGGTTTTTTTTTGCTATCATTTCCTGTCTAACCCTAACTAGCCCTCAGCGGGCAGTAAACATCGTTTTTATCTTCTGAATACTACTGTACATACCAGTATTTATTGTGGTACATTTAGTCGTATAAATCTTTCTCCCCACACACACATACACGCACGCACGCACACACTATACATTACGAGCTAGACAGATCACACGAGTAAATCATGTTTATGACCACGTTGAGCTTTGCCTGTTTTTTAATCACCGTCCCTGAAACAGTTTAATGTTACATAAATTTACGATTAGTGGTTAGCTGATTTTTGTCGCGGAGAGATGAACAAACAAACCCAGACGTATGTATTTGACTTCACACATATTTTTATATTATAGCATGTAAGCATATTTTTAATATTATTCCAACCTCTTCATATTCTCTCCGAAGGCCATTGGAATGTTTGGTGAAATGACATTTCGCTTTTCCCGTTCAGTTAAATGCAACTGTACACTATTCAGAAACATTAACAGTACCTACGTAAGCTACGTTGTATACATATCACAAATCACTCAGATCCTACAGCAACAGCGGTCGATGGTGGATAGAGAGAAACTTAACTGATTCCAATACAGAAGTTGCTAATGGACAGATTGTCGCACCTGGACACCCTGTTATTTGATACCACCGAGAGTTAAGCCAAACTAATATCACTCATTTGATGAACAAACTGTAGGTAGGCGGACAAGACGAGAGAGGTGCAAATAAGGAAAACGCACTTTCTAAACGTTTAACACAGTGATCGAAACCCCCGTTTAATTTACGAAGACAAGGCGACATATCTACATGTACTTGTAAAGGTAAGACACAGGGAAAGACATGAAATGAATATGACAGCTGCTTATTGGAAAAAATCATATTAGAAAATATTTTTCAAAAGGGAAATTGAGACACGAAGTCGTGTAGTTTGTGGATTACAGAAATATTAGCAATTGTATGGGATTAAAGGAAGGATGTTCAGTCATGCATAGGTATCGTGCTAGGTAGTCAGGGAGACATGAATTTCCCGTAGCTGCTGCACTGAAGAAAATAGCACAAATATTCACCGTATTATAAAAACACTACGGACACTCACTTCAATGAAAATAACAGGTGTTGCCAAAAAGTGGGCTATATTTGTAGTCTTTATAGTCATGGCAATATGACATTATGTTATTACTGATTTAACACAGGCACTTGACTTTACTGAAAAAAAGAGAGCAAAGAAGAGGGTGAAAATAGGGATACATGGTTTTAGAACTGCAGTGTTTGTGAAAGGACACTTCCAAGCACAGGGTTTTTTCACTTTAAACCAGTGTTTTGGAATATCACAGACAATCACTTGCATGAGAAAATACAGGTATTAAAATGATCAAAAGTTATTTAAATCTCGTGAACGTGAAGATACATGTGCAGCACATCAAACTTAAAAAGGGTCATCGGAATTTCACAGATGACACAAAGGAAAAAATATTACTAAATAACCAAATTTCTAACTTCCATCTGGAGACCATATGCATTCAAAGTCATTCAATTACTTAAGAAAAACCAAAAGTGGAACAAAATCCTGATCAAGTAGAGATTGAGTGGAACACATTCTAGGAAAGTGCGTCATCATTCCACTTGTCAAAAGACAAATCGTGTATTTATCTGCGTATTGTGTTCTTATCTTTCATAATAGTTAACGTGTGATACAATCCACCGTCTATTTTTAACCACCTGTAGACAAGCAAAGGTGGGTCTGATACCTAAATGTTGCCACGCCCACTCAAAATGTCTGCGCCTAGTTTGCTTACCGTGACTATGTCAATAGATCTTAACTTTGTCATCGCGGCTACCTGAGTAATGACCCTGTCCATTGCAATGTAATATAAAGTATGTTTAAATTACCGCACCGCAGCATTAGCGTTGTTGGAACGCGTGACTGATGTATATAAATCCGAGTTATAATGTGGGCTCAATTTTGCCGCATCGTTTTATCGTTTAAATGTTTGTCCGGGTCAGTTGCTCATACCTGGTTGTCACAAATACAGAAATGTCTTTTCTTTCGAAACTCGATGAACGGGCCATTTGTTAGGTAAATAGTCAACCTTTCATTCTGCATGGATTAAAAATACCTCAGGCCGCAAAACTCACGCGTTTTTTCCCAGAATGGCACTAAATATTCAGGAGTAAAACGTGTTGTTCGTGCTTTCAAATGTGACAAAACTATAACAGAGTAAGACGGTATAAAACCTGTCTTTAAGTGGGCTTATAAGCACCAATTCTTATTTGAGTATGTAAATGTAATTTGTGCAGATTAAGAGCAAAGGCAACACATCGCTGATCATTTGACCTATTTTTAGTTGGTCACTTATTCCATGTAGTGTTATCATAATCAAAATGGCAGCCATTTGTGGAATTGTGAAGGCGTGCATGTTTTGAATTTTTTTTTTTTTTTTTTTTTTTGACACACCAGGACTGCCTGTTGCAAAAGATCATTTACGAAAACTGTATAAACATGTATACGTTTTAGAGATGACAACTCTTCATATTGGTGGAAAAAGTGCCATTAAACGGATTTTCCTAGGGTAAACGGCAGTTTCCCCAGACCTTTCAATGGTTAATGACTCCGTTCCGACATTCAAAGTTACTCAATTGCTTTTTTTTTAAAAATGTGTGGTTTTTGTGTTAATCTCTTCACATATTATTTCGGAGGGTACCAATCTATGAATTCGAAGGGTCCACGGGGTCCGATGACAACGACAGGTTTCAGAATAATTCAGAATAATTCCGATAAACGCCGTTTTGGTGTAAAACGGAATTTAATATATTTCCATGTGTTGTTTACAAGGTACTTATTGCGGAATTTAGAATCTCATATGAAGAATTGTTATCCCTTTAAAATATCTCGCACTTGTTTCTATCCCAGTCATGCTTTTTGAATTATTGGAAGATTCATAGGCTCCTTATGTTAATGAAACACGAGAAACATTAAAGTCATCCGCACCAAGCCCCCAAAGCAGAGACTTGTTAAACCTTGCAGTGACGTGACAAACTCGGTAAACAAGGACGTGATTGATATATCCATGACACTATGACACTCTTGACAGACTTTGCCCTTACTAGTATGCAAAAAGTATATAATATTTACCAAGTTTATAAGTAGCGCACAGACACGCTAGAGCAGGGGGGCTCTTTTCAGCTTTAGGCTTTCCATTACTTTAGCAGAAGTGAGGATCTTAAGCGAAAGGAAACGACACGCGCGCGCACATACCCACGCGCGCGCACATACATTGTACACACACACACACACACACACACACACACACACACACACGATTCGGGCAGCTCCCCTTGATCTCTCACTTTAAAATGATGAAGACGAAATCTGTTAAGTATGTTATCATCATCATTATCAAATATTCTTAATGAGTAATTGATTTCAAATATTTTGCTTCAGATAGTAAGTTCTTAGTAAGGTATATAAAATGATAAATGAGAAGTTTTTACATAAATGTAAGCTACTCTGCAGACATTAATTTGATTATTTTACTCAAAAGTCACTTGAACAAAAGCTCAAGCTTTATTATTTTAATAATACTTTTGATTATAAATTATAAACAGCAAGATGTATAAAGGACTAACTCCAGCTACCCCCTTCCTCCCCTCCCCCCTCCCCCCTTCCCCCCCCCCCGCCTTCCCTCCCACTCCATCCCCTCCCTGTTATTTACTACTTTCGCCAAGGTCGTTATTGTTGTTTATGGCAAAGTTATTCAAGTTTTGTGTACGAAAGAGGAAGCAGTTTTACACAGTTTTTTCTCTTTTTACGGCTTTTTATGGATTGTCAAAGAAAACAGCATTATGCAAAGAAAATACATAACCCATTAAAATTGCGCTTTGTCCCCAATTCCGGTTCAAGTTTATTATATATATGTATGTACTCACTAAGATAAAGTTTTTGACAAGACCATAAAATTGGTGGTTGAAGTCGATAAATGTCGTACTTAATGTGAAGTTACATGCACGTTACTCGTGGGATTGTAAAAAGGGGTTGATTAACTACGAGTATTTGGGCATAAACTAGTGTTTAGAACGGCTAGTCGCCATTTTTTTCGAGTATCAAAATGGTGGTCTACATTTTTATAAAATTCCCATCGAAAACCACAAAGCACTTTATGTATTGTTACATACCAGTTGCGTGTGAGAGTCAGATGCGCAGTGACAAGATAAATCATCTTCACTGAAAAAACACGTGTATTTGCTACTTTGACATTCCGCAGTGTTTTTTACGATCTCTTTGTAGCTGCTCGAGATTTTAAACAAAACTTCCATTTTCCATGGAATAAAATGCTTAAAACACGCGACAAATGCGTCAGGATATCTCAATGGAGATACTGAACATTGCCATCAAATTATATACCTCGGGCGTCAAGAGAAGTGTATTTATCAGCAAAATAAGTAGCCTTTAAATTTGCGTGCTTCTGGTAATAAACCACGATCTTTCGACGCAGTAAACAAATACTTCAGTTGATGATAAACCCCCCTTGAGCTGCGACCTTAAGTTTCATTGGCATTACCTTGCTTAAGGTGACCGGTTTCCCATATGGGATCGGTAGTCGAGAGGGCTACTATACGGAACAGAAAAACTATAAATATACGCATTTAGGATGTTTAAGTTATTTTTCGCTGGGAATTTGGATGAGTAGTTACTTGAATTTGTCTCGTGGGAAATTCATTTAAAAAAGCTAAACAGGAGTTATAGGACTGAATATGTTAGAGCGGTTGAAAGGTAAGCTTTCAGATGTCCAAAACTGACGTTTGTGTTTTAAAAATCATTATTTCCGTGGCATTTTATTATGTTTTCAAAGAAAAGGTGCATTTCATCATCATCTCAGTCTTTTGGAACATAGGTTATTTTTGACTGTATCATTTCTAACCAAAGATAAAGATCCTCCGCCTAACAGTTTGCATTAGGTGGTATAAGAATTAATTTTTATGTTAACCACTTGTTAACATTATTCGCACTATATACTGTACATCAATTTGGATTTAATCCTATCAACAAAATACTTTCTTATTAATTGTTTTTTTTTAACTCAAACGGTTAATTGCTTGACGGATTGCGAATAGAAAAATGATTCTTCCCTTTTTTGCATTTACATTGAATGCAATTACTGGTAGTAATACTAACATCCTAACACATGTATATTAACTTTTTAAGTGGTGAAGTTCTTACACTGTCATGCTACGTTTCTTAACGATTAATCAATACATGGTAATTCAGTCATACACTGTGAATGTGTATCAAAATTTCTTGGTAGCATTGCAGGTTTGTAACCTACTCTATGCACATATTTGGGATTAAGTAATAGATTATAAAACAAACAAACGCAATGAAGTGAAAGTTTACACAAACCGCACTGCCGATGACGTCATGATTACCACAAATACCAACGTGTGAGAGTGGGCGACACCTTCCTAAAATTTCAGTCAGATATGCCAACTTCCTACATAAGTCTGGCTAATGTAAAATCTTACTAATACATGTACAAGGAGTCCCTAATGGAAAGTATAAATTTCCTATTACAGTCCGTCTAATATCTGGGGTAGAGACGAAATCTTAATTACTTGTTGACAATTGTTTAGATCCGTTTTCAATTAGTAAGGTCAACTCGCTGCTAAATAATATCTTATATGAACGATAGAGATCTTTTAGTTTTGCGATCTGTACAAAATTATTATAAGTATAAAGGAGGATGTCGACTCCTTCCACAACTCTGAGCTAAGTGGTTGCGTTTTAGTGATACATGAGAGGTGAACCACCAACTGCGATCTGTATGAATCACTGAGGCATTTTGAAGTTTACGTTAACTCTTATACGCATGCTGGTGCATTAGCTGTCGTTAATATAACCTAACCTAACGTCGTTTATGAACACATAGATAGGCCTATATGGGTGTATGTTCTTCTTTTCCAGCTTGGACCTCGCGGCGACGCCGTAAACGTCCCGACAACGCCAACGTCGCCGGGTCCCCGCCGTCACAGACATCAGTTTCCAGCTCAGCACTACGCCGAAGACGTATGGAGGGCAGGGAATATCGTGTCGTTTACCTAGGAAACTCTACGCTGACCCATTTCTCTACAGGGCTGGGTGCAGTTCAGAAGGCCCTTCGGGAGGTGTACATACAGTACAGGATGGCCACTGGTAAAGCATCGTCGCAGGAGAGAACAGTGAAGGTGAATACGGAAGGAATTAGCGTCTTATTCAATGACGGACCCAAGGCGCGTGAGATCCGCTACCCATTTTCTTCCATCCCTTTCAGTGCTGCGGTACGCTACATTCTAAGAAAGGACAAAACGGGGAAGAAACTTGAAGGTTGTTTCGGTCCAGTCGCCCCTTCGTCGTATGTTACCATAGACAGACTTATGACAGCAGTGGATAAAAAACACAATTTTTTGGCCCAGCTTCACCATCCGCCTATGGTAGTGTGTGTTATGCGAAGAAATAAAGGTCTCCGGGCCTTGGAGTGCCACGCCTTCCTGTGCAGCAACGAGGATGATGCACGAAACCTTGCGTTCGATCTTCAACCCGACTCCGAGTCCGTCAGAGACACTCGCTTTGCAGATTATCCGCCTCCAGTCTCTAATGAAGAGAACTATGGGCCCACACACAACGTTAATCGTCATCATTCTGCCGGCTCTCATCATCACGCAGCAGTCACAGCTGGCGACCAAAGGATGCTCTACGCTCCTGAAGTCAGGCATTCAATATCAACGGCACGCCCTCAGCACCATCTGCTGTCAGGACATCAGCAGCAACAGCAGGGCATGCCTGAAGAGTCTCACCTGAGAAGACTGAATAGTCAACAACAGCAAAGCCCATTACAGTCTATTAATACCAAATTTTCGCATCATCACCAGAGGAATGACCCAGCATCATTATTGGACAATACCGGCAACTGGCAGGATTCGCTATCTGACATTAACCTAGATGACTTTACATTACAGAAACATAAAAGAAGTACAGCTCCCACGCGGAGTGCTGGTCACAGTGGTGCGGGACTGGACACAAGGAAAGAGGACATTAGGACAGCGATCAGTCATTCCTTAGAACATCAACTACAACATCACCAGCGCCAACAACAGCAGCCTTATACCCGAGGTAAGAATAGTTCAAAGACACATTCAGAACGTATATCATCAGACACCACAGATTATCACCCACCTAGAAAATCCAGTGCCGAAAGAACCAAGTCAGAACCATCGAAAGCCAACAAGGATAATAATAATACATCTACAAGCAACGTTGGACAGTTTGGATTTTTCTTCAGAGGAGTTTCGGCGTCAATGGGGCAGAGCACCTCCAAAGAACAGTCAACTCCAGCGCAGCAACAGCAGTCCCATGTCCTCCCCCGAAAGTCAAAGGCTGAGAGAATTTACCAAGACCATCCGCCAGGGCGGTCTCAGAACGAGGTGTCTTCAAATCATGGCCAATCGTCCGCAGGAAGAGGGGGTATTAACCGACCATTGTCACCACGTGATTTCAAAGCCCGTCGTCCCACGTCCCCGATACCCCTCTCTCCCGAACATTCAAAAAACCGTAACTCGTCAGATGGGTCGCATTCCAATAAAAAACTGTTAAATAAGAAACCTGACCGACCTGTTGCCAAAGTACCGCCCCATTTGCGGCAAGGTGTTCGGGTACTCCCATCGGAACCCTCGTCGGGTATAGACGACTTAAAGAAATCCGGTAATTCTGAAAGTTTTTCTTTCAATGGAAAATTCATTTCGTCTGATCGTAGACCGAGCAGTAGGTCAGGTGACATCAAAGGAATGCATGAAAACAACTGGAAATTTGGGCAAAGTAATAACAGACATAACGGAACCGGAAGTAACGAAAAAACACCACACCGCCATGTTTTAGAAAGTCAGGATTCAAGCATGAGTGACAAACTTTTGCTTAGTCAAAAGAAAGATGCAGAAATTGCCTCTGCTTTATCAAATTTACATTTTGAATATGAACCTGCAACACCTATGGCGACCAGTGGAGATTTCGAGCGCTCTTTAGGCTATTTACCATGAAGTAGCTATTACGAAAAACCTGTGCAATCTTAATAGTACTGTAACCTCGAACTGATCCAATTAATTAAAAATGTGGAAAAGAGGCTTTTAAAGTCAGACATGCTTACATTTGGTGCCAGCACTGTAATCTTTTTACCGGACATTTATTGAAAAGTCTCAAGCAAAGATACTCTACTAGGTGTATAGTTTCTAAGTCATGCTCTTCATCTCGACTTTGTTCTCTACTTCCAAGCATACACTATTATTAATGGTGCATATGGAAACGGATTTACTTTTGGTAGGGTATCCTTGCATGTGCTTCTTTCATTTTTAGAAAAGAACACATGATTCAGTAATTTAACAATGGGATTTAACCTAAGATTTATCTTATTAAACCATTCTTGACATTGATTCATGTGGCTTTAAAATTTGACCATCATTGCTACATTGCATTAAGTAAGACAAAAATATTATGCATATACTGCATCCATTGAAGAATAAGGTATAAGTTGTCAAAGATGAAACTATTTTCATGCCATTGCTGTAGTGACTGTCATTGTGTCCTTAGACATTTTACAAGGAAATATGATGTAGTGCACAGTATCGGCGTGCCGTACTTTTGCAATCAAAATGTATACTTCACTGAGGTTTGACAGTCACCAAGCTGTGTGACGCTCTATTAAAAGTAAAGAACAAAAACAACGCACTTATGTTGTTGCTTTGATAATTATATTTGATGCACATTATAAAAGTCAAATAACTTTAAATACTGCAACTAGCACGTGATAAGAAGATCTAACAAAAGAGTCTCCAAAATTTTGTACAGCACCTCTATAGCCCAGCTGTAGCCGGCATTGCAGTTGTTCCTGCCTCACTCAATCCACCCAGTCTGACGTATGAATATACAAGCTTGGTTTGGCGTGTGACCTCATTTAGAATCTGACTGCACAAATGTCCACTGCGAAAGGTCACATTCTCAAACTGTGCTGTTTATGGCGATTTTAGATCTTTTTGGTCAAATATAGGCCTATTGTAACTTCTGTTGACCTTATAACACAGAAAAGATTAACTTTCATGCTATTTGTGTAACAAGGTTAATTAGATAACTTGGATGATCATTTTAACTTGCGAAGTATTTAATATTCTCGTCACCACCATCCCACCCTCAACTCCAACCAAACCTTACAATACAGAAAAAACAAAATTGGTAATCTTATATAAAGCAAGACTTCATTCAATTTCCCTTTTTCTTAATGCTCATGTTGTTGGTCAGACATAAGAGGTTAAAGCGAAATAATTTCCGAAGCTGTAGAGCAGCATTTTGCAACTGCTTGCAAAAGGCGTTCAGTTGCAAAATGCACCTCATTGTGGTAGCTGCGTGGCTGTCTTCTTCTCTACCGCAGTTGACCCAAAGTGCACGCTTCTAAATCTATTCGCTTGCATCACTCGACCAAAAAAGTTTTAAAAAGTTCGGAAACAAAAAATTGTTTTTCCATGATTAAAAAACTATGTAACTTGATGTAGTGGGAAAATATTCAGTGTATATAAAAATGTTACGGATGGTGAGTGCATTATCCATCATTATTTGGTTAAAATACATTGTATGTTTCCGAACTTTTTGTTGTCGAGTGTATTAACTTATCTGGAACTTTTGCATCGGCTTCGTTAAGTCTTGAGAGAAAAAAGAACAATATTTCATAAATTATTACGCCTTTTTTATTTATTATTATTATTATTAAAATAAATGGTGATAAATAAAATATGTATACGAAAGCTAACATCTTAAGGGTTATTCTGTTTATTAAAGGGGGGTTCTAAAAAAATGACCTAGTACTTTTGGATTATTTCATGGATCTCATCTCTAACTAATAATGAATAAAAAGCCAGGTCCATGTTACGGTCCTGTTTTATCATCCTAGTGCAATTAGTGTGTCTTTATTCTTATGAAAAGTTGTTACGAATTGCTTTATTTTAAGGTTTTTATTTCACACGTTTGATTCTTTATCACAGGTTCCACTTTTTGTTTGTTTGTTTGTTTACTGGATTTGTTTATCATTGCCTCACAGCTCACACAATCGTACGTTTTTCAACTATCACAATCGTACGCCCTATTGCCAGACATTTGTTAAAGTCAGGTTGCCCATTTCACTTTTCCATTCACTAAACGTTTTGCACTAGAAATCTCGTTGCACGTGAAGCATTTTGATTTATTTACGTCGATATGCCAAAAGAAATTTCTCAGATGCTGCAGGTGAAACTAGGGAACATATCTATCCCTAACAATTACCGTTTTAAAGCAACTGTTTATATCAGAGGTTAAAGCGACCTTAGCTATCTAAGATGATTCATCAAAGCATATTTCGCTTGGACAGAAATTAAGAATAATGTGATATATCGTAGTTGCTGTACTTTCTGATGATTTAGGCATTTCATGAAAGCCAATTTAAGGATGGTACAATGGAGAAGTTTGTAATGTCGTTTTATAAAGGAGGTTTATAAATACACACTTATAAATACAACCATACATTTACTGTTATAACTACAATAATTTTCTCTGATTTTTAGGTCTATTTAATAATTCATTTTTTTTAACATGGCAGTACCCTATGAATATTTAGGATGTTGATTTTAATGCGACATATCCTATCCGTTTGTGTGTGTGTGTGTGTGTGTGTGTGTGTGCGTGTGTGTGTTTTCTGCATCTAATGACTTGTTAGTTAAACGATTAGATATGCCTAAAAAAAACACTCTCATTCGCCTTTATCGTATTTAGTACAGGTAATATAACTGTAATTTAACTATAATTTGCTTCCAAAGAAAATTAATAAATTACCACAAAGTTGCAAGTAAGAGGGAGCGAAACACGCAAAGTGATTTTCCATGGTGCACAGAAACTTAATTTGATTTAACCTTAATGCCGCTTGCCTGTCTTCTTCAATCCTTCCTCTCGACCTCCTACGGATATTAGAGGGACGCAATGAAAGCATTTAAAAGGGTTGATTGACATTCAGCGATCGTAGAAAAGGTCAGAAGAAGTCCCATAGGACTGAAGTGGCAACACATTGTGCATCTGTGTGTTAGAACCCTGAAATGACAGCGACCCTGTAGAGATATGGATCAGACACAAGAATCAGATTCACTATGCTTTTCAGTTTGCATTTTTAAATACATTTCAGTAAACCACGGAAAAAATGATACCTGTGTATAAATAGGACAAAAAATGGAAAACTATAAAGTTTGGGGGATTTTAATAATACGCTGGTCCATACTTTTCGGTAATATCAAATCACTTTAAGTTTCTTTTACCAGTCTTAGTTATAAAAGAGATAGCACTTGAAATATTTGTTGTTATAAATCCTTTTATGATCTTTCTTGATAGATTGCCGTCATATCCCAAGGGCATGTGACGTACTTAAAGAATTATGAAATAAATAACCTGCCAAAAATATTGCCAAGTGAAAATGCAAATAATTGATGTAACCAAGCAATCGCCATGGCCTAAGGGAAGGGCCAATTGCAACTGGCCCTGATACGTCCCATTTAATGAATAATGAGATCGGGACTTGATATTGTAAAGTGAATAACTGGAAGGAGGCAGAGATAACTGCAAACAACTCCAGCTGAATTCGCTCAAATCTAGGGTCCTAGCAACCTCGTACGAAATTCTCGTATGCGACCGCGCTAATCTAAGTATAATCTATGAATTCCATGATCAAATAAATAATTGCGATGTTAATAACAGCTGTTGTCTGTTTTGATAGAACGTACGTGAACAATTGGATGAACGCTGCTTTCCTTGAACAGGCAACTTTACACATGTACATGATCGAGTTAAAATCCAGTGCGAGAACTGTTTTTTTAGTTTTGGTTTGTTTTTTTCTTCGTAATCACGTCTCAAAAATAATAATAATAATAATAATAATAATAATAATAATAATAATAATAATATGTATTTGGGGAGATGGTTAAAAAAGATAAAATACTGTTTTAATTTTCATGTGATCAGATGAAAGTGAAAAAAGTTGTCATAGCAATTGGAGGAAAGAAAAAATAACCCGTATCTAGTGCAAATTTTCCAGTTGTCATAGTACATAAGCAGCATGTCGTGCCAAGATAATGATCTGTTATTGAGTGTTATATGATGTTAGAATAGACCTTCATTGCCTTCTATTAGGTTATATAGGACGTGATTAATTTTTCTAATTAGGTCTATATTGGAAATATCAGGTCAGATAATAACCGCATCAGTCACTTTTGGGCTATCATATCCACATTAGTTTTCACAGCAAATGGCCAATAAGCAGATCACCGCGTTGCATACGGACGCCTTGTTTGCATTGTATTGCATTTTCCCGTCGTGACAGATAAAAAGGAAGGAAATGAAAATCCGCAACAATTAATTTCTATTTTGTATTAAGTCCGATTGCCAATTGTCCTCGAAAAGGTACCAAGGATGATTGAATTTACTGCAGCATTTTGAAGTTTTGGTGATAAGGTGAAGGAGAGTAATGAAAAATGCCTATATCAGCGTTGTTGAGCATGGCGAACACAATATAAATTAACGGCGCTGATATATGGGGTTTAAGTGGGATGGATGCGCGGTCAAAGCAGAGGAGCAATGTCTGATAATTTAAATTATAATTATTTACTTACAGTGTACAGACGATCTGATCCCGTGAAACTTGTCCATGCACGTAAGGCTACGTGTTGTCCCACCCACCTCCGTGTAGATAGTCTGGCAAAAACAATGAGAAGTATATACAGATACATGTAGTTTGTTAATATTAGTATATGAAGATAGCAAAGTTGTCTAAAAGGATAGGATTTTACATTCTTATCCCCTTAGTTATCTCAAAACTAGCAAAGTGGCAAATCTATATTTAAAGCCATTATACAACTTTTGTTAGGCGGGACTCTAGCTTCTGGTAATTTGACTATTGGGATCAAATGGCAGGGGCCAATCTCTTAATGTCCCCACATTAAGGAGATGTCTTTGTATATATCACATCATCACGCAACATGGTATCCCTTTAACTGCTCACAGTAGCAGACATGCAAGTGATACAAATGACATTTGATAGCGCCTCTCTCTCTCCGATTTTAATCCCACTGGCTGTTACGGGGTATTTGTGAAGCCCTCGGTTGACGGGAATGACGTCACAGAGCCAAGTAATTTCCGTTATGACACCAATGCCGCCAAAGGGTCGTTTGGATGATCATTAAAGTGTAGTTTCATTCGTTTAACTTGAAAGACGTTGGGTATATTTTGGGTCAAAGCTTAATCGTTTCAAGGGCTTCAATGACATTTAAGTAAGTCGACCTTCTACAATTTTTCTTAACTTAGTTAAAAAAAAAAAAACAGGCCCAGGCCTCTAAAAGTTTGTTAAAGAAAACAGGAAAAAAGTGGTACCGAAATGTTCAGTCTTGAATTTCGGCACATTGGATTGGTTATTCGGTACAAAATGGATTTCATGGCCTTGGGATGCAATCCTTGGGTACCAATTACAATCATTCAAATAACCAAGTTTTGTCTTTTTTTCTTAAATTTTTAGACATAATAAATCAACAAACTTGTGGCGTGGCATACTTTATTAAGAGACTAGTACCTCTAGATAGGCCTGCATTCCATTTAATCTTTACATTGCGTATCACCCCGAGGTAAAGGATAGATAGATATATAGATAGATGCCTTAACAGCAAAGTATAACCTGTAGTCCACTATTCAAAACCGTTGAGAAAATTACGATCTTTCAAGTTATTTTCGAGTCCTAAAATTATAATTTCTGTCGCCGCGAATGATATTCACCATTTTGTATAATATCTTCATTAAAAAAGTTTCTAAAATTTAATAACAAAAACTAGTTTATTGACAGTTATTATATGAACGGTTTTAGATATGGTATACCTTGATGATAAAGGAAAAAGTGTTGAAGTTTCATGGAAAATTTTATATAAAGGCCTGACACTAAATTTGTGGCCTAAAGAGATCAGTCAAGATCCCTTTATAGGAATTCTTTCATGAAAGTTCAATTTTTTCCATTTAACGCCAAAGTATACCATTCACACCATTACAGTTGACTCGTTTTTGTTTTTAGTAAATCTTTAAAGCATTTGTGCTATTGCCTGCTCTGGGAAATGGTTTTACTTCAGGATGATACGCAATGTAAAGATAAAATGGGATGCATCTCTAGGGACTAGGCTATTAATAAAGTACACATTGGGAGGAGTATGTTGAAAGAA